GAGAGAGAGAGAGAGAGAGAGAGAGAGAGAGAGAGAGAGAGAGAGAGAGAGAGAGAGAGAGAGAGAGAGAGAGACCGACAGAGAGACCGACAGACAGACTGACAGACAGACAGACAGATAGACAGAGAGACAGAGAGACAGATGTGATGAGAGAGAGAGAAAAAGAGATACCTGAGCGAAGTTACCTGTGTGGTGTAGACGGCGATAGCGGGCCTAACCGCTTGTTATATGCACTCGGAACCTGTGTAATTCTGATGCTTTGGGGAACAATCAATGCTGATTGGGCTAATCACTATCCCTCTCAAGTTGTGCGAGCCTTCAGTGGACTTTGAGTGTGATGCACGTCAGGGTTGGCGTTAGAATTTGAATTGGTTCATTGCAAATATCATGACTCCTATGTTCTTGGGACATCAAGCTATTCAACAAGAAATAGAAGACAGCAAATAGTACTAGTTGATGCGATATGATGTGTGTCCTATGTTCTCCACAGGTGAACTCTGCAAAGGCTGCTGATCTCGAGAATGGAAAGCTGAAAGTCTTCATCAAGTAAGTCACTCCCTGCTTCTCTGCCACCCTTTCTCCCACGTCATCTTTCACTACCACTCCCTCCCTGATGCGGTCTCTCTCACTCGTCATCTCTCTGTGATTGTATATGCATATACTTTTCTATGTGGGGTTTTTCTTTTTTCATAAATATGTCATGTGTGTGGTTAAACCACCACTACTCCGAGCCTGTTTTCGTCGACCCTGATTTTCACTGCACGCCGAGTTTTGCCGAGCCTGGGTTCCATTGTGCTTTTCTTGTGGTACTATTCCGAAAAATGGAAAAAGAAGACACATCCAGAGTTTCAGAAAAGAACAAGCTCCCGAAAAAAAAGAAAAAAAAAAAAAGAAAGAAAGAAAGAAAGAACAAGCACGGAGTTGCAGCGACGGGCTCACATCCACATGGGAAAGAAAAGTGAAAAACAACACCCCTTTGGACGTGATACCAGGTGAATACCTGCCCCAAAGTAGCAGTGTGAGTACGCCCTCAATGAGGGCGTTACGGGAGGGGTGTCACGGCTTAACCAGGTCCCTCTATTGAAGGCTCCATCTATTGGTGGGGAGCAGCACCTGCTGGAAATCGGGTCCAGCGTCCCTGTACAATACAAGAGTTTTGCAAACAAGTCTGTTCTGTGCACAAGCCACTAGTACATTCTGTATCACGTTTTGTAAGCGGATCTGTACCGTTCTCAAAGAGCTATTGTATTCTGTATTAACTATCTCCCAAGTGTTCTTGTCTATTCCTGAGTTCCGCGGCTGCCATGTTTAGGCTAACTGCTATCGCTCTCTCGTATTGCCTGTATTGTCTGTGTCTAACCATGTTGCACACTGTATCTATGTGTGTGTGTGTTATAAGAGTTCAGTGGATGTGTATATATGCCAGAAGACGGGTCCGGGAGGACGCATTGATTGCTTCCCCAACGAGGAAGGATTTTTATTAATAGTCCATGCGTACCATACTTGCGGCGCATTAGTGCGGTGCGCGATGCGGTGCGCTGCGCCGTGCGGCATGCGCGTGGTGACACCGCGCGCGCATGTGCGCGCGCACGCGCACGAGGTGCGCCGTGCGCGCAGCGCATGAGGACGCGCTACCA